AATATTATCAGGTTTTATCAAGTCAATGAAAAAGTATAATTTATATTAATATTTATAAGCTGCATGTTTTGACGTTCCTACAAATGTATCTGAGGCTGCTTTTAAGCCGATCTTGAAATTGCAACTAAATGAGTGCGAAGACTGAGGAGAGACGCTTACAAATGCTTTAGTGATCATGTGTAATACATGTAGATAGAACATAATTATGTGTTCTAGTATCTTGTTGTCATCTTCTATCTTAAAATTTCAGTTGCCTTTTGAGTGTGGCTACTATCAGGTCATGCGGAATGAACTTTCCCTGACCTTCAGAGCTGATCTTGAAGGGGCATATTAGAAATGAGTGCGAAGATTGTGGCAAGCTAGAGACCAAGCGCAACTTTATAGATCATGTATCAGAATAGAAAGTAATCATAAAATAGTGAGTGTCTTGTTGTCATCTTCGATCGTTGAATTTGAGTTGCTTTGTATTTTGAGTGGGGCTAAACATAGGCAGTGGAATGAAAATATGTGTTTATTTCATTTTAAGGCAGCTCCATAAGCTATGGTTAGTTGCACATAATATATCCTTACAAGTGGCAAAGAAGAAAATCTGCCAATTAAAGCCCCATGGTAATACTAATTAGTAATATTATCAGGTTTTATCAAGTCAATGAAAAAGTATAATTTATATTAATATTTATAAGCTGCATGTTTTGACGTTCCTACAAATGTATCTGAGGCTGCTTTTAAGCCGATCTTGAAATTGCAACTAAATGAGTGCGAAGACTGAGGAGAGACGCTTACAAATGCTTTAGTGATCATGTGTAATACATGTAGATAGAACATAATTATGTGTTCTAGTATCTTGTTGTCATCTTCTATCTTAAAATTTCAGTTGCCTTTTGAGTGTGGCTACTATCAGGTCATGCGGAATGAACTTTCCCTGACCTTCAGAGCTGATCTTGAAGGGGCATATTAGAAATGAGTGCGAAGATTGTGGCAAGCTAGAGACCAAGCGCAACTTTATAGATCATGTTTCAGAATAGAAAGTAATCATAAAATAGTGAGTGTCTTGTTGTCATCTTCGATCGTTGAATTTGAGTTGCTTTGTATTTTGAGTGGGGCTAAACATAGGCAGTGGAATGAAAATATGTGTTTATTTCATTTTAAGGCAGCTCCATAAGCTATGGTTAGTTGCACATAATATATCCTTACAAGTGGCAAAGAAGAAAATCTGCCAATTAAAGCCCCATGGTAATACTAATTAGTAATATTATCAGGTTTTATCAAGTCAATGAAAAAGTATAATTTATATTAATATTTATAAGCTGCATGTTTTGACGTTCCTACAAATGTATCTGAGGCTGCTTTTAAGCCGATCTTGAAATTGCAACTAAATGAGTGCGAAGACTGAGGAGAGACGCTTACAAATGCTTTAGTGATCATGTGTAATACATGTAGATAGAACATAATTATGTGTTCTAGTATCTTGTTGTCATCTTCTATCTTAAAATTTCAGTTGCCTTTTGAGTGTGGCTACTATCAGGTCATGCGGAATGAACTTTTCCTGACCTTCAGAGCTGATCTTGAAGGGGCATATTAGAAATGAGTGCGAAGATTGTGGCAAGCTAGAGACCAAGCGCAACTTTATAGATCATGTATCAGAATAGAAAGTAATCATAAAATAGTGAGTGTCTTGTTGTCATCTTCGATCTTTGAATTTGAGTTGCTTTGTATTTTGAGTGGGGCTAAACATAGGCAGTGGAATGAAAATATGTGTTTATTACATTTTAAGGTGGCTCCATCAGCTATGGTTACTTTTGCACCGAATTCCTAACACGTGGCAGTGGATGTGTGTTGATAAGAAAAGAAAATCTGCCAATTAAAGCTCATGATAATATTTACTAATTTGTCAAATAATCATTAGGTTTTATCAAATCACTGAAAAAGTATGTGTACCATACTCCATTTTTTTAAAACTAATTTTTAAGCTGCATATATATGTTTTGACGTTCCTACAAATGCATCAAAGCTGATTTTGAAATTGCAATTAAATAAGTGCGAAAACTGGAGTGAGACGCTTACAAATGCTTTATTGATCACATACAAGTAATAGATAGAATATAATTATGTGATATTAAGTATCTTGTTGTCATCTTCTATCTTAAAATTTCAGTTGCCTTTTGAGTGTGGCTACTATCAGGTCATGCGGAATGAACTTTCCCTGACCTTCAGAGCTGATCTTGAAGGGGCATATTAGAAATGAGTGCGAAGATTGTGGCAAGCTAGAGACCAAGCGCAACTTTATAGATCATGTATCAGAATAGAAAGTAATCATAAAATAGTGAGTGTCTTGTTGTCATCTTCGATCTTTGAATTTGAGTTGCTTTGTATTTTGAGTGGGGCTAAACATAGGCAGTGGAATGAAAATATGTGTTTATTACATTTTAAGGTGGCTCCATCAGCTATGGTTACTTTTGCACAGAATTCCTTACACGTGGCAGTGGATGTGTGTATTGATTAGAAAAGAAAATCTGCCAATTAAAGCCCATGGTAAAATTTACTAATTAGTCAATTAATCATAAGCATATACATGTAATTATGTGATAGTATTAAGTATCTTGTTGTCATCTTCTATCTTAAAATTTCAGTTGCCTTTTGAGTGTGGCTAATATCAGGTCATAAGGAATGAACTTTCCCTGACCTTCAGAGCTGATCTTGAAGGACATTATCTGAAATGAGTGCAAAGAGACCCAACTTCCCAAGTGCAGCTTTATTGATCATGTATCAGAATAGAAAGTAATCATGCAATAGTGAGTGTCTTGTCAGCTATCTTTGAGTTGCTTTTTTGAGTGGGGCTAATTCCAGGTCCTGTAGAAAATCACACCATTATGATTTGTTGTTAAATGAGAATTAAACAGATTTTCTGTTTTCCAAATATTATATTTAAATTTAAATTTAAAGTGTCAAAAGTGCCACCTATTTCACAGTATTAGGGATCCTTAAGGTGTGTTTCTAGATCCTACCTTGAGCATCAATGCACTGGCAGTCAGATGACTAGGAAGCTTCCTTATGTGAACATTGTGTAACGTTTATAGTCAAATGGAGACTTTAGGCTAACTTTATTAGGCTTACCAGTTGATCACCGCTATGTATACCGGTAATGTTTTGCATATCAACTTGGGACTTAGGAGCCAACTGTGATCAGGTCCTCAGTTTGCTAGGACCAGATGATAAGAACACGTTCATATGTGTAAATTGTGTAAACTAAAGTTTGCAAGTCAAATACTTTAGGCCAATGTTTGCTCTGTTTCCAGGTAAACTTATATGCCATGATAGGCCAATGTGTAATGTTTTGCATATCAATTATTGACTTATGGGCAATTATAATCAGGTCCACAGTTGGCTTGGGTCAGATGACCAGGAAGCATCCTCACGTGTAAATTGTGTAAACTGAAGTTTGTAGGTCAAATGGGGACTTTTGGCCAACTTTACTTGGCTCATCAGTTGATCAGGGCATGATGACTCGTCAAAGGACCGCTATGTATAATGCAGGGCTTTTCAACCTGCGGCCCTCGGGACCATTTTGTGCAGCCCGCGAGACCTTCATGACAAAATAGTTTTAAAGCTATCAATCAATAATATGCAAATTTCATGTTCATTAAATCGACATCCATGTATTTTTGGTATTTGCAATACTACTCGTATGCATGCCCCCTTTTTATGACAGAAAATGGCAAAAAATACATTTGGCTTGAAAATAAGTTGCACAAAGATATTTCCCCTTGAACCTGGTTCACACGATTGCAGCCCGCGGTTGTTGAAAAGCCCTGGTATAATGTTTTGCATATCAACTTGGGCCTTACTAGCCAACTGTGATGAGGTCCTCAGTTTGCTAGGACCAGATGATGAGGAAGCATCAACATGTGTTAATTGTGTACTAAAGTTTGCAGGTCAAATGGGGACTTGGCCAACCAACTTTGCTAGGTTCCCCAGTAGAGTTATTATTATATAGGCCATGATTGGCAAATCATACTGTTTTGCATATCAAGTGGTGACTTATGGGCAATTTTAATCAGGTCCTCAGTTGGCTTGGGTCAGATGACCAGGAAGCATCCTCACGTGTACATTGTGTAAACTGAAGTTTGCATGTCAAATGGAGACTTTTGACCAACTTTACTGTTGCTAAGCAAAACATTAAATACAAATATATTACTTAGTGGTCCTTTGACGAGTCATCATGGTCCTGATGAACTGGTGAGCTGAGTAAAGTTGGCCTAAAGTTCCCATTTTACCTGTAAACTTTAGTTTACACAATGTACACATTAGTGCCCTGCGGGGCAAGACTTTCTTCTACCCCGACCCGGCACTACCCCAGTTTCATCAGCCCCGACCCGTAATTTTTCACCCTACCCAGAAAGTTTTTTTCTTGGACCAGACCGGACTGGACCGGGCATTTTTGCAGGGGTGTGATTTCTCTGGTTTTCTGGATTTTGAAATTTGATTTTTGTTTTTGTGGATTTTGTTGGTGTTGATTTTTTAATTTCTTTCTCTTAAAAGTGTTTAAAGCCTCTCCAAATGTCTAGTAAAATCCATAAAAGGGGTGGGGTTACCCCTTTCCTGGACCCCGGCGGTGAGGATGCTCGCTTCGCTCTATATTTGGATCTTCCTGGATTTTTTTCCAACCCTCAATCACACCCCTGATTTTTGTCACGGCCCGTAAACGTATGTCTATTTTGAAAATTATGCGTAAAATCACAATTTACATTCTGTAATAGGCAGTTTTTATTCTGAAATAAGCATATTCAACAAAAAAATAAATTACAACAATTTCAACGGAATACATCCATTGTGAAATGCTGATGGTTTTTATTTAGTTTTGGGGTGGTTATATTGAGTTTGGACTAATTTTGTTTAAAAATCAAAATTTACCCGAATGCAAATTCAACCCGCCCATGGACTGCCCCGAAAATGTTTGCCCCGACCCGGACAGGACTGTAAATTTGACTAAAAATCCTTACCCGACTTGGGTTTTGGTCCAGGTCGGTCCGGGGACATTCGGGGTTTCTGGGTGTTTCGTATGGCTCTAGTACACGATGCTTCCTCAACATCTGGTCCTAGCCAACTGAGGTTCTCATCACCCCAGAATCCACAGTGATATTTATTTTCTATTTTCTTGTTGCAGATACTTCCTGTAACTTGTTCGAAATCATGGTAAGTTTGTTTTTGTATTCATTGAACATTTGTTTGAAAATAATTACCATATGAATTGAAAAACAATTTGCAGGGACATGCTATAACTCAAGTCTGCTATGTACAATCATGGGGTGAGGCTACATGCTCTTGAGATGCATTACTTAAGGGAGCATTTATGATAAATGGGATTTTGTACACTGCTTGTTTTGAAATTAAAGGCCAAAAGTGATTTCTGCATAATTTTGTCAATCATTTGTGACTCGACACAGTCAAATGAGGTGGATGTCGGCATAATTTAATCATTTTGAATTATAACAACATGTTATTTTGATTTAATGTGTTTATATCATGTGAAATGAATATATGCCAAATTTGACTTGCATCTCCAATTCCTTTCCCGAGAATTACAACTTTTCTTTCATTTTTCTATTTATCGGAGTCGACACCAATTAATTACAAGGGTGCTGAATTCTGCACCATCTGTTGTAATCCTTGACCATTAAAAGATGTACGCTTTTAAAAATGATCGTTTAGGTATTTAAAAGTGTTAAAGCGACTACGACGTGAAAATGTCAATTAGCCTCATCCCCAGTGTGCTTTTACCAAAATGTGGATTTTCTTCATTTTCCAGGGGGGGTTGTCATGTTTGTGCTTTTTTTTCTTCATAGATTTTTGAATTTCATCACATTTTGAGTGTAATCAGTGGATAAACCCAAGATAAAAATATGAAGATATTGTCAAATGCCCCTTTAACTCTCAAGAGCACATAACTTTGAATTTCCAATTCAAGGCATTCCAGAAAAGCAATCTGAAATTTATCATAACTCTGGAAAGGAATGTAATAAATTAATGATTTTGGTATCAAAATGATCCTAGACTTGTGGAGAATGCATTACAGGTATTAACAAAATCTGAAGTTGGTCAACGCACATCATCATCAGCCTCATTTACCCGCGTTGGGTCACATTTATTATTCTAGAAAATATTTTTGAATAACATGCTCCCTTAAAGATAAAGTTGAGTTCTGGTCATGTGATTGCATTGTGAAAGAAACGGTGTGGAATCTATCAGAAAAGGTTGATCATCTAGTATATAAGTATTCGTGTGTATTGCAAGGTTCTGGAATCATCAAAATGATGAGACATTTGGCCAAAGCTTGGCAAAGTTACAATCACTGTACACAGAATGATGTATATGGGACTACACGAGCACATGGCGAAAAAAACCTACCCCCCGATTTTTACGTATTTTATGTCATATTTAGAATATGAAGGCATTTGAAGAGCCATGCTTTTCAGGGAACATGTTTAATCTGATGTTCTTCCACAATGATAACGCTCACAAATTATATTTTACCTCTTCCCAGAACTCAACCTTCTCTTTAAGGAAATGCTCTACCCTATTGGTCATTCAGTCACAAACAAAATATGATAAGCATGGTCTAGTGTGAAGGTTTAATGACAACTAAGTGTGTATTCCTTTTGTTTACACCAATCCGGCCAAGCCATTATTACTGTGGTGTCCCCGCTGTCAAACTGCTGTGTCCCCGCTGTCAAACTGCTGTGTCCCCGCTGTCAAACTGCTGTGTCCTGAGAGAGGGGGTTCATATCCTTTCATGGGATTGATGCATACATAATACAACACAATTGATCTATTGCAATGTGCAATCACGTATTAATTTGCAGAATCAAAATGTACCGTGCTGATTCAGTTGTGGTTCCGTCAACAGAGGGCCAAATACAGTAAACGCTCGACGGGTTGGTGTATAGAATGCATAACATGCACTTCAAACATCTGCTTTATTATTTTTAATTATAGGTATTGAAATGTATAGAGCATTTCATGACTGACCAACATTTTAATGCTCTTCACTTTAATTATTTTAAGAACCATATGACTTGCAAAAGTATAACTGTAATATTTAAATTTGTTGTCACCGCCCTTTAAATCTTTCACAGAAAGTTTCACTGAAACTATAAGTACTGTTAGGCTTTGACGAACGACCATATGCTTTGGGTAGTTTAGTCCGTTACCTTAAGCTTTCTGTTTATTTGATAAACTTATACTGACTGGTGATGAAACATTGCCATTTTGATCTCCTGCTGTATTACTGAGAAATTGCTTTCAAAAAGCTGATTAAATATGATTCAGTTTCATTAGAGTTCTGCTGTCCCATCACTTTGGATGTTACTAAATACTGTACTAACCCCATTATAGTCCCACCTAAATTTACACTGGAATGAACTTGAATTTAGAGGGTGGGATCAAAATCCCATTTTGATCCTAACAAAAAAAAACACAAGCATCAAAATGTCAGCCTTTTCTGACGTAAATGAATTCCAGATATTTTCAAGTGTCAAATGAGGTGTGTGATTAACAAAGATCTGCAAATGAACTGAAGCATAATCACAAGAGAAACTACCAAAACAGTAATAATAGCAAAAACTGCTTGTAACTAGAATTGTCTTCCAGCAAAGAGCTTCTAAGGTGGGATTATAATTGAACATGGGTCTACTCAGGTCAGTATGGCAATAGTCCATAGAATAGATGAAGTCCAGGCAATATCAGCATTACATCTGTGAGAAATTTCTGAAACTTTTGCATGTTGAAAGTACATGTAGGTGTACATGTAGATCATATCGAAGATCTCTATCTTGGTTGCAGTTAATCTTGACTTGAATCAATACCTCATCAAATCATTGACTTGCATGTATTATACAGGAACGATCAAGAAGGCGGGTTTCCCCAGAGCAAGTGGCAAAGAAGTGGTGTCAAATATCACAGGATCAGTCAGGGTTTCAGAAGAAATACATCAACCAATACATTGGTATTTTTTTATCACTGGCATTGTCCCTTTAATGCCATTTTCATCTTCATCTATATTTTGGTTTGTTAATTTCCTAAAACTTCATATATGTTTTGGTTTGGTTCCAAAACTTCGTTATTTTGGTTTGTTTCCTAATTTCTTCGTGTTTTTTGGAAGTTCTCTGAATCTTCATTGATGCGTTGTTTTTTTAGGCAAAAAAAAAAGAGGTTCGTCTCAAGTTCCACAGGTTCAAAACCCAAAGCGCTATGCATTTTTGTTTGTTTTTTGGTTTAGTCTAAAAAAGTTATGCGGGAGTGTCGTGGTCGAGTGGTTTAAGGCGCTTGACTGGAGATGCACTAATATCCTTTGGCAAGATATTAACCTGCACTTGCTACTCTCCACCCAGGTGTTAAATGGGTACCCAGCAGTAGGATGCGGCCGTCATTGTTTGTCAAACAGTTTTTTGAGCATCAAGTAACGCCTGGCTGGAATGCTCCCCAGGGAGTGGAGATCGTGCACAGTGTGTGCGGGCAAGCACTGAATCCTATGACCGGGCTAATAGTATATTTGTAAAGCGCTTAGAGACATTTGTATTTAAGCGCTATATAAAAGCTTAATATTATTATTATTATGCGCTCGTGGAAATTCCTTTTTTTATTGCATTTTTAGCCCACTTTTTTTTCTATTTTTTTGCTGCTTTGTGGCCATATTTTTATTTTTGCATATCAACTGGGGACTTAAGAGCCAACTGTGATCAGGTCCTCAGTTTGCTAGGACCAGATGATAAAGACGCAGTCATATGTGTAAATTGTGTAAACTAAAGTTTGCAAGTCAAATAGAGACTTTAGGCCAAGGTTTGCTCTGTTTCCAGGTAAACTTATATGCCATGATAGGCCAATGTGTAATGTTTTGCATATCAATTATTGACTTATGGGCAATTTTAATCAGGTCCACAGTTGGCTTGGGTCAGATCATGGACCTATTACGGATGGACATTCAACGTGATTCTTTCTTTGATCCAATGATAGTCACCGCCTTCTGATTATGTGCATCTTAATGAGAACATTCGGCTGTTTTAACAATAACGACTGCGTAAGCATTTTCGGGCATTGACAAAGGAGCAGTTTCCCTCTCTTGGGTTTTGTTTGGATGGTGTGCTCTGTAAGAGTATGTCTTCAATAAAAACATCCCCAATGGGGAGCAGCAAAGTTGAAAAGCAGACGATTTTGGTGATATGAAATGTATTATTACTGATTCGCACACTTTCGCACACACCCATGACCCTATAAAACAATTAGAAGGCTATGATCTTTATAAGCCCCGTGTGTTATAATTCTGGAATATTATGAGGAAATTGGGGAAAACGGGATTTTAAATCACAAACAATCCAAACAAAACCTATCTGGTAATATCAACATGTTTTTCAAAAATAGAACACAGTATATGGAATAACAATTTCCGATTATAGGCCAGAACTGCACATCGATTTTCCATGATTTAGGCGAGTTATTATCTTCTGCGCATGTAGATTAACATGTGTAAAATCACTATCTTGATTCTGTCCCGGCTTTTTGGCGGCGACCATGATGAGATCAAAGTGAAGAAACATTTACGGAATGTTATTGAGACGACATTGACGTAGACAATCACAATGAATTTGTTAAGAAAACGATGAATGTCCATCCGTAATAGGTCCATGGTCAGATGACCAGGATCGACGCATCCTCATGTGTACATTGTGTAAACTGAAGTTTGTAGGTCAAATGGGGACTTTTGGCCAACTTTACTTAGATCTGTGTTTTGGTTTGTTTCCTTATATCAATGCTTTGGTTTGTTTACTGACATCCATGTTTTGGTTTGTTTCCTTATATCCATAATTTGTTTCCTTATTTCCATAGTTTGTTTCCTTATATCCATAGTTTGTTTCCTTACATCCATGTTTTAGTTTGTTTACTGACATCCATGTTTTGGTTTGTTTACTGACATCCATGTTTTGGTTTGTTTACTGACATCCATGTTTTGGTTTGTTTCCTTATATCCATAGTTTGTTTCCTTA